TACAGCCGGTTGCCTGTACTTGGCGGGAGACTCGACCGAGTCTCTTGATCTGTGGGTGGCAGCCAGTAGCTCTCCTTTTATAATGCTCCCATTACCTACGTTTTTTATACTCTCGTACTACGGCTGCTGATTAGAAAGAGACAGGGCTTGGCCGCCATCAGTCGCCATCTTTTTCTATCAACCGACCATTTTTCCTATGCTTGTGCGTACTCCATGCTACATGTGATGATAAGCTCCCTCCACTACTCAACTATACTCCTCCCACCGTGCCGCCCCACCATGTTGACATTTACCACGCGCTTATTGGACAATTGATCTCTGGCACCTGCATTTGTCACAGAGATTTTCTGACGCAAGCCATACCACTCAAATAATAAGCTCTAAATTATTCGGACAATCAAGAGCAGTGGAATAAATTTACACAGTCTATAGCAAAATTTAAGGAAAGCCAGCGAAATGACTGAAGAAGATTCGGTACGTGAATTTAGCAAATAGCGTGAATTTTTTCAAAGAAATAGTGTGGATTGATTCGTACGGACTTTGTGAATGTAGCAATGTGTATAGCGAACGTTCTTTTCTGTTTTTCATCCACCTACTGAATTCGGAGCTTACGAATATCGCGTCGTGTCATTTTAATTGATAATTTCTACTTAAACTTAAAGAAATGCCTTAATTTCTGAATTTTGCCCTAACCCTTAACTGATGTGAGAAAAAAATGTATATACTGCAGTAAGATAGAGATGGATCCTAAAGATCCACGACAACAGTTCAAAATGAATCCAACCTAAAATACTGCTACAACAAATGTGCTATATAAATTATAAGAAATACTTCCATCATTTCATATGAAATAGAACAACATGATAACGAGGTTCATTATACTGTAGATTTTTGACCCTACTTTGAAGAAGAAAAAGAAGAAGAAGAAGACTACCTTCGATCCAGATGCAGGATTTGGCGAAGGAGGTAGCGGCAGTGAAACTACTGAAGGAGCTGGAGATAAGGAAAATCAAGAACCAGACCAATTGGTAACTGAAGATGATGAAGTGCTTGATCTTGAAAATTTTGGTAAAAAGAAAAAGAAAAAGAAGAAGGCATTCAATCTTGATGAACTTGATGCTGCTCTGCCTGATGACAAGAAAGAGGTAATACAGATTTTTTAAATTTAATATATCATGATGATTTCTGTACCAATATAATGAACTTGACTTAATACTTTTTTTTAGAATATAGTGGAACCTGCATCTGAAGATGTGGTCATGGAAGATAACTTTGATTTGGATATGGACTTCTCCAAGACCAAAAAGAAGAAAAAGAAGAAGAAGGATCTGGATGAGTTGGTAGCTGAGGAAGAACGTAAAGAAACAGAGGATAAGGAAAATGGTAATAATAGATAACAATGTGGCTTTGACTGTCGTGTGTGTCTAGTTGTTTACTTTATGTTTTATCTGTTAACATGCTGCACTGAATTTGAGCGAAGTGCGGAATATGGTAAGAGTTACATTGCATATTGGGGGTAATTTGACATAAGCCACATTCATTATGATTGTTCTTGATGATTTGCTGGTTGGGATCTCATAAAAGGAGAAAGTACACTTTAATTGTCAGCACCCAATTTTTCTGGTTTCCGTTTTTATTAATATAATCGTGAAGACTTTCTTTAGAAGGAACTAGGAAAAAATTATTAAACAAAAAACAGAAGCTCCGTACTCAGATTCACAGAGATAGAATGCTGAAAAAATTCATACAATGCTGCGACTTCCAGAATGTAAACTTAATTGCTCCATAAACTATCCTACTTTCATTCCCCATCATTATGCTCTGTAATAACTAGTTTATACTTCACATTTGTTCTCTAGTGGAAGATACGAGCTTGTGGGTAGGATCGGATAGAGATTACACGTACGACGAATTGCTCGTTAGAGTATTCAATATCATGAGAGAAAAGAATCCCGACATGGTTGCCGGTAAGAAGCAGAAGTTCGTTATGCGGCCACCTCAAGTCGTCCGTATAGGAACGAAGAAGACGTCCTTTGCCAACTTTACTGAGGTATGGAAAACTGCTTAAAGCGTAATAAGCACTTAGGCGCCTTGCAATAGACCTCTATGAAGAAGAAGTAACTAAATTTGATATTCGTTACAGATTTGTAAAACGTTACATAGGCAACCGAAGCATTTATTAGATTTCTTATTGGCCGAATTGGGTACCAGTGGGTCCGTCGACGGTAACAGTCAGCTCATTATCAAAGGTCGTTTTCAACAAAAACAGATTGAGAACGTTCTCAGGAGATACATCAAGGAATACGTGACTTGTCATACATGCCGTTCACCCGATACCATCCTTCAAAAAGACACTAGACTCTTCTTTTTGCAATGTGAAACATGTGGTTCTCGGTGCTCCGTGGCTAGCATCAAATCTGGTTTCCAGGTAATTGAACTACTAGATCGAAAAAGAATGTTGAAATCGATCCTCTTAGTTGTACTTCTTCTTTTACGCACAAAGCCACAACCACCAATTTTGATTTTTTGCATTTTTCAGGCTGTCACTGGCAAACGTGCTGCCATTCGAGCAAAGACTGCCTAAGGGACTTTCTACGTTTTGCTATTTTAATATCCAAGCATTATTTGAAAGAATGGTATTGGATTCGTTAAAGTCTGATTATACTTGATTATTGGCGAAGAAAATAAAATGTAATAATAACAGGGTGCCAGTTCAGTGATCTGGAGTACCTGCACCGCGAATTAGGTGTAATGGTATTTTAACGGTATCTAATGAAATCATAATATCAAGGTATAGTTGAGTTCTCAAACAAACATGATATGCCTTGAGGATCCTTGGTTATTCGGAATTCCGAATTAGGTGTTACCGTAGAGATAAACGTGAGAACAAATAAAAACTCAGTGCGATAAAACGAAATAGCGACTACTCAGGATGGTTGCGAATAGTCACAATAGGAAAGTTATTCTTGTATCTTCTTATACATGCATTGCAAAAAAACTACAAACCAGTTGCAATACAACATAGGATATTTAATTCTTGAAATAATCGAGTCATTTCCTAGATACTTTAGACGTCTGTATTTACTAGATAATAAATTCATCTCAACATACACTTTTGTTTTAATTCCACCAATAAAAATATATACACTTTATACATAATTATTAACATTGCTTAAAGATTTTTATTTACTAATTACTCTTACAAACTTTAAAACTACACTATTTTATAAAAATGGTATTAAGCATAATAGGGGGTTGTGATTTTAAAACTGATTCATCACTATATCGACTTTGAATCCCAAAAGTTTTAAAAAACGGAGATAGCATCCAAACAGCCAAAGGCTGAAGCTTTGGGACCTGCAATACAGACATCATACAAATAAGAAGACATTTACAAATGATAGAAGTATCATTCACACGTTTGCCTACCACAATTGGATTTCGAATCGCACCCTACTGACTTTGCCAATCAGTCTTTTCCAAAGCGTATGTTGAGCTAATTTATGTTTTCCAAGTACTGCCATTCTGGCCATTAACCTGTACCGATCTATCGGATCGCCATGTTCTCTGGCAATGGCCCTGACTGTGTTAAGATTTCTGATAACTAGCAATATGCTCTTGGGCATAGCTCTCAGAGTAACCATTACTTTGTCAAAACGTTCTTGGGCTTGTTTCTTCATGTATTCATCAGCTGATAAACCTGGAGGTATTGTTGTGAGTCCAAAAACTGACATTGGTGTTTGAGTTAACATTTCTCCAAATAGTATATAATCTGCAATCAGTTGTAATGGTTCAATCAAACGAAAATTATCTTTCTATCAATTGATATTCTCGTTCTGCGACCTTACCATCTACGTTCAACTGACGTGCATAATACTTAAGACGTTTATTATCTCTTAAAACGATAGATTCCCAATAATTGCACAGAGTGTGCCTTGTGTGCTCAGGTACTTCCTCATATAATCCATGATCTAATAATACTATTTGTGCAGTATTATCTGTGACTTTTCTAACAAGTACTATACATAGAACAAAAAATACATAATCAGTTGAATGGGAAGTATTCATAAGTATTAAAGCCATGTGCTGAATTTCTCACTGTTGCCAGGATGTGGGTCTGCGTGAACAAAACCTGAGTGGAATATTTGTTGAGCCATTATAGTAAATAATTTTTTATCCACTTCAGCCAAACTTAATTGTTGTCTTTTCAATTCCTTTACATTGTTTATTTTAATGCCATCTATCCATTCTGTAGTGAGAACTCTCTGAAAAAAAATAAAATGTTAAATTTACAAGAGTTTTCCAACTTGCCATGATTTGGATAGCATATGGTTTACCTTGCTTGTGCAATCCCAGTGGACTTTGGGAACATAGGCATAACTGTAAGACTGCAAATCTCTAGCGCATTTTTCAGAATTTCTACCCTCATTCTCAAAATCCAATTCCTGTACCAGAGTATCTCTCATCTCCTATAAAATAAGGTTTGATCCTTCTAAGCAACTAATGCTTATTAAATATAATCGTAATAATCCATTCATTATATTTACATCCAAAACCCAATGAAAGTTGAATTTTGGGTGCATAATAGAAATGATTTTCAATAGGAAATCCACTGTTTTTATGTCTGCAGAAAATCTGTCCTGAAGATCAATGTATTGCACTTTAATAGCCACATTTTCTCCATTAGTAGTGACAGCCTTGAATACCTATATTTTGTTTGACAAAAATTCATAAGTATTTGTAATTCTTGCTACTTTCAATAACTGATTGCTCTTTCAAAAGTCTGAACATACTTGGGCTATACTAGCTGCTGCTACTGGTTCAGGTTCAATTTTAAGGAAGACTTGTTCAGGTTTACTACCAAAGTCTTGAAGAAAAATTTTTTCAAGTTCATCAGCTCCATGTTTTAGGCATTTATCCTTGAGACAGCAAACTTTTCATTATCTGCCAAATGGCAAAGTTAGCTTATAGAATGCAAGAGTTTTATGATCTAGAACATAAATACCTGTAGTATCGTCAGAGTATCAATATACTCCTTAGGCAAAATATGATTCATAGCAGCTAAGCCCTGTCCCAGTTTTATGTATAATCCACCATTTGCTAGGCATCCATCCACAATCCTTTCGGCTGCTCTTTGATGTATAGTGGGGTACTCGTGTCCAAAAATTGGAGCAATCAAATAATCCATAGAGATAGTTAAACCTATTTTAAAAGATCTTACAAATCGAATAGAACTTCCAGTAATCGATGAGAGACATTTTTTTTCTTCGGGAGGAGCAAGTACATAACTACCATAAAAAACACCAATACCTGGAAGGAATACCTAATTAATTCTAATCTAAAAGTATAATGATTTAAATCCACTAACCTCCACCAACGATTTTTAGTGTTCTGGTAAGTGACATGGTCTTCTTGATAGTGCGCTATATCGTGTCAAATGAAAATCTGATTATTCAGATCGGTAAAATATGTGATATGTAAAATCATCACGTGTAACATGGGCTAAAACCTTTTGCCATTTTTTTTGCTTTTGGTTTTAGTCTCAATCGTAAGGTTATCGCCAGAATCAAGATTAAACAATTCGTTCAAAAATTCCTCTCAACCTTGGTCTTGTATACAGGTCTGGGCACTTAGCGAAAAACGCGTAACGATAAGGTGGCCACTGCCGCAATAGAATGTTGAAAGAGCCTAGCACTAGAGTCCCTCTAGTAAGGGGTCATCTACAATGAGACGTAAGAGTAAGACGGATGACGGAAGTCGTTGTCGGAAGACGGAACGTGCGTTCCACAATGAAGTCATTTGACGGAAGCGTTTGACGGATGTCGTAGTCGGCTGTCGTAAGAGAGATGACCAACTCCCGTCTCTTCTGTCTTCCGACAACGTTAACGTGCACGCCGGTGGCAACACCGTCCTCTGCCACAAAACATTCTGTACTCTGATTGGCTGCGGAATCGAAGTGTCACGCGTTACGGTAACGACATTGTGGATTCATGTCGGAACGAAGTCGGAACGCTACCCCGTCTCCGACAGCACGACAACGACAACGACTAACGCTTCCGCCTAGTGCTTACGACAACGTCTCATTGTAGATAGCCCTTTACGACAGCCGACTACGACATCCGTCGAACGCTTCCGTCAAACGACTTCATTGTGGAACGCACGTTCCGTCTTCCGACAACGACTTCCGTCATCCGTCTTACGGTTACGTCTCATTGTAGATAGCCCTTTACGACAGCCGACTACGACATCCGTCGAACGCTTCCGTCAAACGACTTCATTGTGGAACGCACGTTCCGTCTTCCGACAACGACTTCCGTCATCCGTCTTACGGTTACGTCTCATTGTAGATAGCCCTTTACGACAGCCGACTACGACATCCGTCGAACGCTTCCGTCAAACGACTTCATTGTGGAACGCACGTTCCGTCTTCCGACAACGACTTCCGTCATCCGTCTTACGGTTACGTCTCATTGTAGATAGCCCTTTACGATAATTTTCGCCACTACGGATTACGTCTTACGGAGAAAAGTGGAGGGGACAGTACTAGATTCTGATTGGTTGGTTTCCTTACGTTTACGTCTTACGTCGTTACGTTTTTTGTGTGTGAAGGGCTTAGGAGTCCGTCCAACGGTGGGCCTCATACTGATTGGCTACGCCATTTTGAGGGCTCTTTCCGGAATAGGATGTGTTGTATGAATACGTATATGGGAGAGATTCGCATTGTGTAGTGTGGGCAGTGTTAATCCCTGTACGGCGGGTTGCCTGTACTTGGCGCGAGACTCGACCGAGTCTCGCGCAATATCATGGCAGCTCCAAACGAGCTCTAAACATGGCGTCCCTTCCGGGTATTGGCCGGACTCTTACTAGAGGGACTCTACCTAGCACCTGTTAGCTGTGCTATGTTAGCCTCACGATCTTGTATACAAGATCGTGTGTTAGCCTATGTGTAACGCTCCGAGCGCCTAATTCCGCGGGATACTTGAAAATCCCACTCGATGTTCCTTGCTGCTGGGTTCCGTTGATAAAGAGTGGAAACTCACCTTGCGAATTTGGAAGGATATTTACGAAATAAAAGTGAATATTAAGATATAAACGTATATATGTATATATCATCTGCGGTCTGCTCTGATCGAAGGTCGATACACAAGTCTTTATTTCAAACTCAAAACTGCTGGGACTCACCCCCGGAGTCTTTACAAAGATTCTCCTACCAACATAGTTTTAGCCAATCAAGTGCGAGTTCAGAAGGAACAAGGGAAGAAGACTGGGTGCTTATACTAGCCGTTTCTGACGGTCGATTCTTTGAAGAAAGGGCCAACCGTCTCCATTTCAATCATTGGCACTTGACTTGCTGGCATTAAACACTCTTAACGTAAATAAAAAGGTTTAAATAAACATAACTAGGCTAGACGTCTTTTAAATAACAGAGGGAATACAGTTCTGGTATTCATAACTAAAAGAACGTCTATTATAAGGTTTATAATATAACTTCTTAAATAATTACAACGTCACCACTTGCATCTATCGATTCTCTCAGAGTTATCCTTTTATAACTGAATCTCTTAATAATAATGTCTTCGATTAAACATATCCTATTTGTCGTTTGAATAATCGCGGGTTTTGATATCGCTAAAACGTATACCCACTATAACCGGATTCCTGAACTATATCGAACGTTGTCGCATACGTCACATATGATGTCAGCAGGTCAGCAGGCTTCTTCGACACTAGTGTTTGCAGGCAAAACCGGCCAACGGTTACAAGCACAGTCTTATATTCAGGTCTAGGCACTTAGGTGAAAAACGCGTGACGATAAGGTGGCCACAACCGTAAGAGGCGTTAGTGTTGAAAGAGCCTATCACGTGCTAGCACTACGCGTGCGCAGATACCTCTTTCTTGAATACGTAACCTGCAGCTTTGTTCGTGGTAATGTGTAATATACCACGATTACAATTGAAAAAAAACAACAATGACCAGAAAGTGCATCGTGCCTGCTTGAATCACAATGATAGGAATTTGCATTTGAAAATCTCACAGAAGTTACAAATAAAATCAGTAAAAAAGTTACGACACAAGCAAAAATTGACTGTTTTAATTTTCTTGACTTTTAGGTGAATTGGTCCATTTAACTTTAGTTTTTTAAATCATCAATTCTTTATTTGTCCAACTTATCAAAATTTTATTTTATTAGTATCACATCTTTTTTTTTGTGATTAATAACGTTCCTTTTGAATCGGAGATAAGAGGTTGCAGTGAATTTACTGATGCGCATGCACTGTGTCAGCAGGCTTCTTGGACACTAGCGCTTACGGGCAAAACCGGCCGCATTAGGGTTACAAGCTACAACGGAGTGAGGATAGGGAAGTGCCCAGACCTGTATACAAGATCGTGCTAGAGACATATCCATGGAAAACCGAGTTCATTTTATCGCTACTTGAGATGCTGAAGAAACAAATTGTTTACAAGTAAATGGATATGTATGGATCAATTCTGAATGGAAATTGGTTATAGTTTCACTGTAGCCTCAGTTTGAATTTAAAGAACAGACTTAGATGTAGCTCGGAAACGAAGAATCCAGTTATTAATGGATGCAATAAGTAGTAAATGTAAATATATAAAAACATACAAATAAAAATTGCCTGTAAGAAGAATCTGTAATTTCTTAAGGTGGTGAGTAATGGATTATAACTTGGGTGAGTACTACTGGAGTGATAAAAAATGTCCTGTAAGTGCATAATGCACGATACCACACTAAAGGAAAACAAAAGAAAGGTAAAGGCCTGGTTACCATGCGAACAAAATAGGAGTAGAAAGGAGTAGTTAGACCACGGCCCGGTAAGCAATGGAAAGAGTGAGAAAGTAGCATGAGTCTTGCGGGGGATTGGTGGAGGGAAGAACCATGAGGAGTAGGAAAGTGGCGCAGGGCAACAGAGCTGACTCAGTGTGATTCAGTCAGCTGTTTGCTAGCAGTGCGAGGGGTTGTCTGGCACAACGCAACGCGTCACTAATAATCAACAGAAATCGATCGACTTTAATCGACAATAGAACAATTATTGCCTTTGAGAGATTCATCGCGTTAGTGACTGTTGTTTGCTGTTTGCCGTGCATGTAGGAACCCCTTCATTTAAATCTTCGGTCCACCTGAGTCGACCTGAACTGACCCGGACGAGACAACTGTAGTTATACGTCTACGTCAAGTTCTACGTTATCACTGGTGCAGTTCCCTTAGCTTTCAGCAAGCAATCAGCTGACTCCATAGTTGGCCTCCTCGACTGCGTCCTGAATCTAAACAACACTGATAATCATTAATTGGAGCATCAGAACACCGTTGTCTCAGGTGAGCCGCTCTCTTAACATCAATTGGTCATAATGATATAATGCACAAAGATAAGCTGTCCTCGAAACTGGAATCCTTTGTGCTCGGCCGATGACTTCACTTGCCTATGGAACGCTCTATCTTACCTTGGCCTGCTTGCGTCTTTTACAAACTCCCCTCCACCCTCTGCAGAGCTACGTCTATGCCTACTATGGGATCTATATGTATGCTCGTACATACATATATATGTCTTATGCAGTCATAAGACTCTGTAATTTTATATACTTTGCTTCACCTCATTTTAAATTAATTTAATGATTAGTAGTTCTCCCACCAATTCACATCTTTTTATGTGAAGAAAAAAGTGTGACAGATATGTTGCTACTCAATGCTGCCTCCTCTTGTGTAGAATACTTCCTTTGTGTCTCGTCTATTTAATTGGCCGGAGTGACCAATAAAAATGCAAGGGGACTCGAGAAAGTTAAATATAAGATCGACCATGCAATGCGGAGCAGACAATTAGTCTTTAAACGGCTTCCATTGTGCGATACCTTCCAAGTCTTCAATTATTCTATACATTTCCAGCTAATATTTTTCCTCATTAGTTTCCGCTTTTTTTAACTTAGTATTTGCCGCCTGTTACAGCAGTCATAGGTTTTTTTCTACAAAACAACACCTAAATATTGCGCAGCGTGTTCCTCCGATAATAGGCGATATTTCCTGATATCTTTCTCTTTATTCTTGGTATATCTCGAGAGCGAAGCCAACAGAAGCCAAGAGTTAAAACGAGGAACACAAGGAACGAGAAACTCCTACCTACTGGACGTATGTACAATAACCGCTGACGCAAGCGCTCAGCTGTGAAGTCAGTGCTGTGCCGTAGGTTCCTAGAAACTTGAGTTCCTGTATTAGATTTTTACCTTACTTTATTCCGGAGGCAAGTAAAAGCGTCATTATATAGATTTTAAAGTGAGCCGAATCTTTTTTAATTTCTTCAGAGCTTCTGAAATAGTTTTTCTAATATCAACATGCCGATAGTTTGACTTGATAACCTCTTGCATCATTTATTTGCTGAGCTAGAAATTATCTCTTTTTGGAATAATGCCAAGAGCAAGATGCTATTATATAGTAGTGATGGTGAAAGAGTCTGCTGATTGAAGCATCGTCGTGAAGTCACACGTATCTCTAAAGCGTTGTCGGGCAGGAACTGACAGGAACGTACCAAAAGCACCTAGACCTTGAGAGCGAGTCAAGGCTAACAACGATATACAACGTTGTAATCGATACTATCCAGTCCACAGAGAGTTTCCAGATTTTAAAATTCAAGAAGCTCACTGTAGGTCAAGCAATACACTAAGCATTCTAGTCTTTTTTTACAGGAGAGACACTTTTAGGTATAAAAACGTATCGTTGGGTGAAGGCTTATAATATTTCCTCCTTGGATTCTATGAGAATATCTTCAAAAATTAACAGTGACAGTGGTCTGTTCTTTAAAAATAGTGAATTGAACATTGAAATCCATTCTCAGACCTCTTGGGTTGAAACGAGACAGGCAAACCTGATCAGGTACAAGCAAGTAAAAGCTACGAGATACTCGCGTTCATGTTCCATATGCAATTTCCTTTGTTGAATTTAAAAGAAACTCTATCAGAAACCTATAGTTACATCATTAATAATGATTGTAGGAGTACTAAGTTAATCTTCAAAATATAATAATTGTTCTAAACAATTTTAACACATTTTAAATCCCACTCGAATACTTCACTTCTGAAAGGAACCTCGAGCTCCGACAGGTTTGAGAGTGGCACCGTTTGAATGCGTTATCCCAATAGATGTGTTGGGAATCTCGAGAGTAAACGATCCTTTTCTGCAGGAGGTATAACAACTCCAGAGGATATTTACTCTCTTAGACACTCATAAGATTTGGAAGACAAGTTTTTGTCTGAAAAGAAAATATCCAACGTTGGTAGAATAATCAAGTGCTGCAGAAAATAATTGGGAAGCCAAGGAAGGGGCCAGTAACCAAGTAAATTTTTCTTCCTTCGATTTTGGTGGGGATTACATCAGTATAAATTGTGGTGAGACATCTTTCTGTAGACCTGCATATATGCACCCTGCGACCATGCACGTGTGGTTCGTAACGCCATGACACATAGGTAAAGCCGGGGATCAGGTTCAAGATGCACCCTTGCAGAGACTCGCCTGAGTGGCTGCCAAATAAGCCTTAGGGGATAAGATGCAGCGAACAAGTGACTCTATTTTCTGTAGCTCAGAGACGACAAGTCTCATCCTATTTCTGGTTTTTAAAATGATTGCCTATTCCTTAAAGTGTTTATATTTAAAGAACTAATTTTTACGTTGCTCAATAAAAAACTAATTATGTCGGATTCTCCTGGAAAGTGTATGGAAATTTTCTTGAAATTAAATAAAGAACCACGTTCAAAATTATTTTATTTTTGTGTTAACCGTAGAGTGTTCTTTTTTGTATTTTTCTTATGTAATATCATAATCCAAGCCAAATATACGAGTGGGGCTTTGCTACTTTCTGAAAATACGACGGACACAAACGTAGTCTCGTGATTGCGTAAATGAGAGAACCTGTGAGCCTGGCCAAAACTGCATCAGTCTTTTAGTTGGGAAAATTTTTTGACTTTCTAAAAACATATTGCATTCTCCGAAGTAAGGATGGAAATATTAAAGGTATCTTATAAAATGTTCTCAGAGCATGAGCGATAAACTGAGACGGTGATAGAGACGTAAAAAAATAGTCTGGAAAATCAAGAGAGTTTCGATGGTGCACGTTGAGATTTTACCTACCATTTACTTCCTTTGCTTGCGTGTAGAGAGGTGGTGTTTCCAGTACCGGGATCGATGCCCGTTCTCTTCCATCCTGCTGCTTCTGATCTCATCCCATCCACATCATTTCCACAGGTACCTCTTGGGCCTGTGCTCCTGTCGCTGTGCAAGGGCAAACAGGAAGTCGATATTGCTCATCCAAATCCGATGTCAAGAATAAGTGACCAAAATTCAAAATAATCATAGATAAACAAGAGGGAATTGTCGATTTCTTAAAAAGATATTGATTTGTATCATATGTGAATGAAAATATGTCCTAAACATCTTCAATCTCGCTTGATTTTTTTTCGTACAATTCCCAAAAGATGCGTTTATTATGGGAGTCCAATTATCATCATGTACCTGAACTAGGTCCGAAAATAACAGGGGATTTGTATTAAGCATATGTATATCGTAGAATAACAGAAAATGTGAGGTTACTTCCAGCGATTTGAAAATAGAAAATAAGAAGAAGCATTCACATTTTATTCGTCAATAATTTTGCAGTTTATTTCCTTTTTAAAACTCTTTTTTTTTTATTAGAAGTACGTTTTAAACTTAAACGGACTTCCATCCAATGAAACGGCGGCAAGCCGTCTTGGTTTATCGCCTCTTTATAATGGCAGAAAAACTTAATCAAGTTCAATGATAACGGTTATCGTAAGTACCATTATTGCTCTATATCATTTTCTGTTCTTGACTTCTTCTTCCAGCACGTAAAACGATATGTTTCTCTAATTCGCATTCTGTCGATCCGTTAAAATGTTTCGTTCACTCATTCCGATTAATCCGCTTGATTGCCATTACTTACTATATTGGGATTACCTGACTGTGTATGTATGAGTATGTATAAGTGCAACTGGTTCCGCAGAAATCGCTATGCACTGTATAATGTGAACTGTACTTACAATATTATTTAATCACTTACTTGGAAGTCTCAATGAGATTTACTGGAAGGGATCACGTTATGAAAGGATAATGCAGTGCGCTCATTTAACCTTCTCCAAATTGGTTTATTTGTTACTGTTTAGTTTCATCAGGAGTATATTTTTTTAGTGGATTCGGGTCCTATTCTATAATGACAGAATAATTATGGAAATCCACTTCTACGCGAGTTTACGTTTTTTTGCAATGCGTAATAGAGAGCGAGAAAGACAAAAAATATCAACATACATATAGGATACAATGCAAACATCACGTAGCGCAGCGACACGTCAAACAAGTGGATTTCTACCTTTATGTTATTGCATCAGGATATATTTATAATGATTATTCAGGATTAACGCGTATCTGGAAATTAGCAGGTTAACTTGACTCATATATGGTTAAAACGTTTTTAAGTGGCGTGCTTATCCTGAGTAACGCTGTATATCACGTGCGTATTTTACTCACAAATAATATCACAAATTTTCTGCTTCTTTGTAATGTCAAGTTTTATTCCTCATAAATAGGTGTATAAAATTATGGCCGATATTATTGGTAATTTAATTTATTGATTTATAAATGTAACGGTTGATTAGATTTATAATTATTTTGCACTATATTCCGAAAATAACCATGGTTACGGTTATTAGTTTTCGATTAATTGTATTAACTGATTTTTATGATGAGCCGAAATTAGTGATTACAGTTGATTGAAAATAAGTAGCTTTAACCATTGTTAAGTTATGGAATATAAGCTTAATATTTAAAAATCTTGATGTCTGCAAAACTGTAAGCGTTAACTGATTCACATCATTGTTCAGTATAAAAGTTTCAAGGGTCTTCTAAGAGATGGCGCAGTATGTCCCACTGTTGCCAGGCTTACCAGTGTTGCCTCCTTTAGTTGAAAACCCAGGAAATATCACTGTATCTATTCCTCTGCAATACAGCAAGTTATAATGTCGTGTGTATTATTTCTCTTTCCTCACATATAATCTTGTTCTTTTAAATGTAATCGTTGCATCGGCGAAGGTTCTACAGCCAAAAGACGAGCCAAATATTCTGAGGTTCGTTGGCAAGACGCAGATTTAGTCGGTACGGCACAATAGGATTAATCGTTATGTATTTTCTAGTACCTGTATATATTTATCCACTATGAGTGCAAGGGAAACAGCCATTATAATATTTATATGCACAAGAAAGAAAACAGATTTACTCATTACCTATAAGAAAAAATAAAGGGAGGTGGATCCAATTTTTTGAAA